ATTAAGCAGACATTACCAATCAAATACTCAGTCACTAGATTAGCTAAAATTTGTATGACCTCTACCTTGTTCTACATCATGGGGGATTTAGAGGTGTATTATTAGAAGGAGATATAGCCAGAGCATCTTGAAGGGTTACTCTGAATTGTGGAGCTATATAATAGCTTGTGGCAAGTGGCAACTTTATTTTTGTTCTCTCAAAGATTTTAAGACCATTGATACTGGAAGTCTAAGTGCTCTTGTGTGCCAAGATAGCTAGAGAAATTCACTTTCATGTTGCTTATTTTGCAGGCTTCCAGCACTTGCTCGATTCATAGTGTTGGAAGTTTGAAGTCTAAAGAGCATTTAGTAAAAGTGACAAGCTAGTGATCTCCCCTTATCTTCATTACATGCACACACCGTGGTATTTTTGTCTGTTGACGTATTTATTGGACTAAGCTCTCTAAATAATTTACAGTTTCAGAAAATAAAGGATGCTATTGCAACACATAATACTGCTCGATGTAGCATTGGTCCACCCAAAGGTGTTGGGGATCTCAATCTTGAAGCCTACTCTCCTCCCAAGAACAAGCCGGCATAATCTTATCCACTCGCACAATGATGTATCTGTGTATCCTTGTTGCTCTGATGCTGGTGCTCTCCAAGCTGCTTATGATGGAAAGATTTCTACTTCTAAATTGTATAGGTGCATTTTATTATACAAGAATTCATGGGAAGGCGTGTGGTGATTTGATCAATTTTATTCGCTTGTAATTTACCATAATGTTGAACTCTTGGTTGAAGTGGAAATTTCAGGGTCTGAGAATTTATTTGTGATGGTGCAGCCTTTGATGCCAGCTTTATAGTTTTGGGTTTCAAATCTTTGGTTAAAGCAACGAACCTGTTGATTTTCTGCTGCTTAAATCGTGGAAGAATAACATAGACAATGCATCAAGTATAACTCGGTTCTGTTGGTAGGCATTTTTAGAGAGGAACGTCTGAAAGAAGATATCTGAGAACTAAACTGAGAAAGCAAACGCAATATTCTACAGTTAAAATGAAAATTTGGATGTAAGTGTACGTTGCACACCTGCTCCTTATTAATAGGAAACTTGTTTTGCGTGGTTGCTTTGTTAAAAATGAACTTAAGAATTTATATCTATTCTAGCAATGCCATATATAATTATTTATGGTTATGTCATCCTATAAAATATAATTTCATCCCTCTTCTCTCTTTCTCTCTCGCTTAATTCTCTCTCTCTTCCTCCTATTCTTTATTTCAATTTTTATTTATTTATTCATTTATTTATTTATTTATTATTTAAGCAGTTATTTATTTAATTAAATTAAATAAATTATTTTAAATCAATAAAATAAAAAATTGACATTGAGAGAAGGATTTTAATAGACATTTATTTATTTATTTTAATAAATTATTTGTTTAATTTATTATTATTATTATTATTATTCTTCTTCTTCTTCTTCTTATTATTATTATTATCTAAGCATTTATTTAGTTAATAAAAGTAAATAAATTATTTATAAATCAGTAAAATAAAAGAGATTTGACATTGAGAGACAGATTTTAGTAGACATTTATTTAGAAATAATTTACTAACAAATCATTCTCTTCTCTTGAGCCCAATATATAGGTAGGGTTGTTGATGGGTTGGATCTGACCCAACAGACCCGATGGACTCGAATCGATTGGGTCGGTTCTAGTTCCGAGAATTGGAACCAATGGGTTGATTCTAGATCCTGGTATAGGGTTCCAATTAATATCGGTTTAGAATATATATGTATAATATTAAATAAATAAATTATATATATACTATTCATATAAATTATATAGAATATTTAATATATATTATGCATAAATATTTATTTTTTATTTATTATAATCGATTGTCTTAAGAATCGATTAATTCGATTTCAGTCCAAAAATTACAAACCCTATCGGGTTTGGGTCCTCAACATTTCATGTTGGGTCAGTTCCGATTTTAATTGGTTCTGAACCAAACCCGACTCATTGATAGTCCTATATTTAGTGTTATCAATAGGTAGATTTGAGCCCAATATTTATGAGGGGAGCCAAAATGTAAGTGGAAGGGGTGGGGGGGGGGCATGGCTTCCCTAGGTCCCATTGGCTCCACCCCTAGGGTTGGGATTAAACCTATTCACAGGTCATGTCAAGATGCAACCTTTGCCTTTATATCAATGGAACATATTCAAGTCCAAGTTTGAGCATAATCGGACCATCGAGCCTAGATCTTGAGCCCAAGCCCGAAGCTCAACCAAGAAATTGAGAAAAAAGATTTATATTCTTTATTTGACAATAAAATTGATTTATTTATATTAAATTGACTTCAAAAGTGAAAATTTTAATTATTTATTTATTGATTTATTTTATTAAATTAAACATATTATTATCCATAATTTTTATTTATTTAATTCAATATGCACTCAATATTTAGGGTTGTCAATGGGTTGGGTTTGGTTCTAGATAACTTGGACCAGTCATGTCCCAATAATAAATGAATAGTTACTTATTTATTTATTACAATAAATAATTGATTTATTTATTTTACAAAATTAAGTAAATTATTATCCATAGATTTCTATTTATTTAATTTACTAAATTATTCAATTAGTTAATAA